TGTCTCACGGATTCCTAGAGTTAGCTTTTGATTTCTCCTCCAGACAGCTGGAAAGTGGAGAGAAGGGAGGGTCGTTCAAAGTAGAGCCAGGGTGGGGGCTGCGACTGGAACAAAACCTTGGTCAGTGGCTCTGAGAATGGGCAGCCGCAGCTCCTACAGCGCTGGCTCCTTCCTTCCCTCCTGGTCCGGCTTAAGCACCACTTTAAGTGGTCCCGGCATTCACTGGCCAGCCCCTCACCGCAATTGAGCTGCAGGGGTTTGAAAAGAGGACCAGGGCCTCAATGACAGGACCTTGGGCCGGGCTAATTGGTTTTGGTTCAAGGGGATACTGGATTTGTGAAAAGCTCCAAACCGCCTTTCCCACGCCAGAGCCAGGTCACAGCATTACGGAGAAAGGTTGGAAGAGATTGGGGCCAGGGGAGAAATCTTGGAGCCAGGTGCCTAGGGCTGATCCTCTTGTACTGTCCAAAACACCCCTCTGTTTGAAGAGTAGGGGATTGTAAGGGCCCCCGGGAACACCTGTGTTTAGGGACAAGCAGGTCCTGGAGACAGTTACCCTGCACACCTGGGCCATGCCAAGAAAAGTTTCCCACCTCTTACCCTTTGGCTAGCCCTCCTTGTGAAGAGGTCCCACTTTCCCTGCTGGGATCATTCAGAAAAAAACCAAAGATGGTGGAGTTAATAGTTCTTGTCCCAAGGGCTAGACCAAACTTGGGCTTTGTCCTGAGACTGTCCTATTGTTGGGCTCAAGAAAACCCATCTATCCCTTGATATGTTTCTAAACTACCTTGAGCATTAGCAGACACTTCAGAAGTAACAGGAAATCCAGTACTTGAAAAAAAAAGGGGGGGAGGGGATCCAAAGGTTTCTTTACAGTCTCAAAAACCAAGCATTAATTGTAATATGCCTTAAATCTATTATGACTGCACAAAGTTTTATTGTAAATGCTTTACAGTGTGTATCTCAAAATGTCTCAGATACCTATGTGTTTGCACCAAATGGTATCTAATATACCCATTCTTCTTAAGTGTGCATATGTATATATTTTGTTGATATGTAGAGTACTACACTTATATTAACAGTCATGGGAATATGCTATAAGAGTCAGCTTTATTGGATTTTTTAATGCTATGGATGCTAGGCAAGTGCTCCACCACAGAGCTACATCCCTAGTCTAGCCCTATTTAAAGTGACATTGCATCCACAAAGACCTGTGTATTACCTCTATTGTGTCTTGAATGGAACATTCCAATGTGATCACGAGCTGAAGAAACTGCCTCCCCCAGTCTTCCAAATTTTGCCCGGTGTTTGCCCATTTGAAGCATATGATAAATAGGAAAAAGGTACTTGGGAGAGATAGAGAACTCTATGTATTCCATTTTCTGTTTTTATTTCTATTTTTAATTGCCCAGAGCCTAATTTCTCCGGGCCTCTGTTGATTTCCACATTGGAGATTCATGTGTAAATATGCAAGTGGCATGTGTGCACGCCTGGGCCTTCTTATCACCAAGTGTGCGTTCTCGGTGTTTAAATACACACAATCCACATCGACACATGATTATGGGCTTACTATTTGCCTCTTCTCTAGAATCGGGTTAATTTTCCCTTGGCTAATCCTCAAACCCATTAAGTTCTCCTCTCCCCACCCCCACACACACAAAAAAATGCAAACCCTACCACAGACCAGTGGGCTTGCCCTGCTCCTCCAGCAGGGAGCTCTTCAGGCAGGGTGCTGGAGTGAAGGTCCCTATTAGGCAGACTTCATTAATGTTACCAAATATACCCCGGCACATTTACTCGTCTACTATGAAGTATTATCATAAATAATTAAAATTAAACTGCACTTGTCAAAATAAATGAACAAAGTAGAGTTAGTGATGTCTTTGCTTTGATTTGCTTGCTAGGGGTTTGCTTATTCACTAATTTGAAGAAAAGAAGAAAGAGGAGGAAAGAAAGAACAGGCTGCCCTGGGAAGGGCAGAGCTGTGGAGAGAGAGGAGAGGAAACCCCTCAGTCATCTGCCTTGGGTTTCCAGTCATTAGGGCACTCTGGGAGGCTGGAATGCAGCCTCAGACATCAGCTCATAATGAATATTGAGGTGTGGATGTGGAAGGGGGGATTTCTTTGTTTACTGAGGAATGGCCATGGGAATGGGGGAGAGGATTGCCTTTGGGGATTAAGGAGTGGGCTTTGTTTTTATGAAGGGCCTTACTTCTTTTCTGAAGTTTTCTGCAGCTAATTGACTCAATTCAGACATTCCTCCTCCCCACTCGGCCAGCCAAGGCCTCGTGCTTGTGAGATGTGCACAGTCCTGCTTCCCCATCTGCTCTCGCCCCTTTCTCCACTGTGACCCCTGAAAAAGGGTGTGAACCTGCACATCAACCAGAAGCTCTGGAGAGATCAGTTAGAGGCCGACACCTTTGGGTGGATATGTGAGGCACACACAGTATTCCGAGAGGCATGATTTTCATCTCGAAATAGATTAGAGGTGTACAGTTCTATGAATTCTGACAAATGCATTTACACCCAAGATAGCAGTTCCCCCCTTCCAGAAACTTCTCTCTTGCTTCTTCCCAGTCTGCCTGCTCCCACACCCCTTGAGGTCTCTGTCAGTTTTACCTATTTAGGGTTTCATATAAATGGAATGTATGCCGGCACTTTTAAAGGAATTTATTTCAAGTCTGGAGGGAGCACACTGTCCTTGGAGACCTGGCTGAACATGTGCCCAAGAATATGGGACTTGGGTCAAGCATTCTTCCCCTCAGATGGACCCAGAAGTCAAACCTGTAATTAGATGGGGGTGGGGGTTGGTTTGGGCTGGTCCTTCCACAGGAGAGCCCTATTCTCACCCTAGGTCTGTTAATGAGCTGGGGACAGGTGAGCCTCACACATTCCAACTTGACTGCCTCCAGCGGCATCCAGGAGCTGGTGGTGAGCTATTAATGGAAGGTACAGGCTTTGTGCTAATTAGAACTCTTCGGCTTCCATCTGTGCAGGCACTGGAGCCCCTCACTGGTCAGCCTCACCACCCCCACCCCAGCTTGCAGCCTAATTCTGTTACCCCCACGAATTAGGGGTACTGTGAGCAGAACTGCTTCTCGCTGGCTTAGGTCAAATCCCTAGTCTTTGTGTGTTTTAGAAATGTGGAGGGTGGTGTTTCTCAGACCTTGTTAGGATATAGTTGGATCTCAAGGCAAGTTGGATGGAAGTTTGGGAACTATGGCCACCCTCCAGGGTAGGCCAGTGTTAGAGCATCTGTCTGGGGTTGTTTTGTAAAGGATTTCTGTCTGCCTCCTGGAGAGTGTGGCTCCAGTCTCTTGTCCTTTGCCATTACGCCCATTCTGGATGTCTCTCCAGTCCCCACCCATCTCACCTCACCCTACAGCAGCCCAATCTTTGCTGCCTCACACAGCCTAGGCTAAGAGCCATGTCCCTTACCCTTCGTCTGAAAAAAACTATTTAAAAAAAAAACTTTTAAAATGTATTTATTTCAACTTAGGCCTGATTGATGTAATTTTTGCCTCTTATAAACGTTTCATGGCGGAGGCGGTGGGGGGACCATGTCTTGCCATTTAAAGAAAAAGCAGCTCTCAGAATGGGAGAGCTTCTTACCTGAATGTGAAGGAAAAAGAGAGGGGCATTTCTATGAATGTTCTTTTATTTTTAGCTCCTGCATCCCCTCAGGGTGTGTGCAAAAATCTCAAGCCCTTATATCAATATATCTCATATTATTCTGGCTGGGTTATCCTGATAATAATACCGTTGTCCGCTGTAAGTGGATTGTTGGCCATTGTGGGGCTTCTCCAGGTTCCCACAAGATTTTGGACCTACACTAAAGAAGGGTGGAGCCTGGAAAGGCTGCGGAGATCCCCAGCTCATGGGGAGGTAGGACTGGCTGACTTATGTGACTTTTTCTGCCCCTGAAGGTGATAATTCCTCATTTGAAGTTCTAGAGTTCAGGATTCAGGATCACCAGGTTTAGAAAACTCACATTCTAAATCTTTTGAGAGGCTGAGCAGCTGGGAGCTGGGAGTGCTCTGCTGTGAGGCAGGGTTCTTTCACAGATTTTACCCCTTCCTTTGGCACTCAGGCTATCCGTGAGGTGTGGCCTTCACCTCTCTGGGTGAAATGGGGACAATCGTGCCTGTACCTACAGGGGTCACCTGAGATTTACATAAAACATGTAAATAAAATGCCTGGCACATAATGGGCCGTAGTCAAATGGTATCTCAAATGGCAGGGGGTGCACACATATCTGGGTCTGAAATTCAAAACTTCCCCCAGCTGAAGACAGAATAGAAGCCCTAATAGATGCAAAATGTCACCAAAGGGCCCACAGGCTACCTACCTCCCCCAGCTAGTACCATATCTGCTGGGTCCCAAGGGTCTCAAAAGAGCACTCCATGGGAGATCAGGGAGAGACAGGTATGAACTCTGAGCTTGGATGACTAACTAGGGGAACATCTAACTGTCCTGAGACATTTTAAGTCAGCAGACCCTCACTGGCTACCCTAGCAAAGAAGGCTGGGGCTGGAGACCAAGGCAGCACCTCCAGGAGGCCCGTGTTAACTCTATGTATGGAGCTGGCTCTTCCGAAAAACCTCCCGGGGTCTAAGTCTCATTAGTTATATGACATTGGGGAAAGCCACGTTCGTGCCTCGGTTGGGTCGAACTCAGGCATTCTGTTTAGGTCAGGAACACGCATCCAGGTCTTCCGACTCCTGGACTTCCATTCTCGAGGGACTTCCGCAGAGACAACCTTGGGTCCTAGGCAGAACCTGCTCCCTTCCTTAGCAGACACCCAACCCGATGTCTTCCACATTCTGGGTGAATGCGGTGGGGATCAGAGCATCCAACATTTTCCTCAGGCTGTGGTCGTGACTCGGAGGGCGCCTGTGTCCCCACCTCCAAGCCTGTGCCACACAGTACCCCCGAGGCTTGACCCGGACACACTTCTAGGGGTCCGTGGCAGGCGCCCGACGTCTCCTCTCTGTGTTACAGTTGCTCCACGGCAGGTCCTCCAGCTTCCTGCACTCCCTACCTAGGCTCTGCGTCTCTTGGCTGGCACCCGCAACGAAGGAGGGCGTGCCACCACCGCCACGGGAGAGGTGAGTGGCCACAGCCAAGGAAGGAGGACATGGGGTGTCTCCAAAACGGGTCGGGCGACCAGGAACGTTGGAAGAGCCCAGGATCCCGTTGGTAAGGCGGCTGTGTTTCTACCTGAGTCCCTCTCTAGGCCAGAGTCCAAAGTCACAAAATCCCCGCCCCCCTCCCCCGGTTTGTGTGCACATCCCAAGTGTGCGATGGCTTTAAAAACACACCTGCTGGCTTGTGCTTTGTACCGCTCCCCGGCTGAGCTGGTGGCGGAGCGGCCAGCAGGCTGAGCGCACCGGGGTGCTGGAATGATTCTGGCCTCCGACGGGGCTCTTGGGACACGTCCGGCCTAAGCCTGCGGCGCGGGTGGTGGCCGGAACCTCGGCTAGTAAACGGCGCGGCCACTTCTCATCTGCCCGGGGGGTCAGGCTCGCCCCACCGGGGGGACGCCTAGGGCCTGGTCTGGCGTGCGCTCCCTCTGGGCCTCCCCCGCCCCGACAGACAGACACTCTTGGGCCGGCCTCACACCTCGAGTTCCCAGCTCGCCCCGGGCCTACGGAAGAGCCGGGCGCCCGCCCGCGGCCAAAGCGGGACGGGAAGACCCCAGAGCGCGGCCTGCGCACGCACCCCCGACGCCGGGGGAGCTGAGCGGAGACCCGGAGGGCCGGCCGCGTGCGTCCCCTCGGCCCGCGCGCCAAGGCTGCTCCGGCGGGGCGCGCCGCGGGCCCGGGAGGCCATTTTGAGAGCGAGCAAGAGCGGCGGCAAGATGGCTGCGTGGGCACGAGGTAGGTCGCCGCGCCGCGGGCTCCGCCGAGCTCCTCCTCGCGCCAGCCGGGCCGCGCGGCCCACGGAAGCCGTGAGCTCCGAGAGAGTGCACCGGGCCGGGGAGTCCTGGAAGCTGCCTGCGCTGGGCCGACGCCGAGTACTCGGAGTCACCCCCCACTCCATCCTCCACCCCTTGCCCGGACCATCCTCCGTCGCTCGCTCGGCTCGCTCGGGGACCCTGGCCCCAAGGCCGCGGTGACCTTGCGGGATGCAAAGGAGAAAGTAGGGTGCTCCAGGGCCCCTTGCAGGGACGCTGGCGGAAGGGCCTTCTCCACCAAGCTGAGGTGCAGGCCCAGCTGACCCATGACAGCGGGTTTTTGTTATTGTTGTTTTTTTTATTTGTTTTTGTAGTTTGGACCCGCAAGCTCTTGGGGAGTTACTTCCAAGCAGTGCTAACCTGTGCCTGTGCGGCCAGCGCCCACATTTCCTTGAAACTGTGATGCAGGAGGTGGTGAGCCTGCCCGCCTCCAGTATCCCAGACCCTGGTGTGACCCTAAGGTGAAGAGAATCCAGAGCCCCAGTGTGAGACCTGTGAAAGTATGTATGGTTGGGGTTGAGGGTGACCTAGAGAGGCCCCATTCTCACAGCCTAGGCTGGGCTGAGTCAGTTGGAGGATGAAGGTGGCAGGAGGGGAGCCATGGGACAGCATCTTTGGGCTTGCCCTCTCCAGACCTCCGCCCAAGAGTCACATCTGCTTTTCTTTCTCCAGCGCCCCCAGTCCATCAATCATTAGTCGGTCTGCTTTCCTTAACCATGGATGCCCTAAAGCAGGCCCTATACATGTGTGTTTGTGTACAGAGTCACCCACCAAGAAACTTCAGTTACCAATTTATGTTCAGTGAATTCCGCCTTGCGCCAGGCCTGAGTGCTTCATGTGACCTCGGACCTCCCTAGATAGGGAGGGTGAGGAGTCCCTTAAGTGACTTTTGCCAAAGGAAAAGTGTGGATCCAGGGCTGTTAAGCCTGAGGCCTTGGCTCTCAATTTGAGTCTCTGCAAGTGCACACACATACACATAAACACAAAGGTTTATCTTGTCTGTTCTCCTTTCCAATAACCATTATCAAGCCTCTCCTGAACCCAAGCCCTGCCTCACATCTGAGGGCTCTCTTGTCACTCCCCAATGTCTACCCTGAAGCCCTGGCCTAAAATAATATTTATGATTGGCTGCTGTGGTTGCTCTGAGCTTCCTGGCAGCCAAGACAAAGCATGAGGACTCTCTAACCCTGCTCAAAAAGGAAGCTCATTAGGACTTGTCAGAGACAAACATTTTTCTGATCTGTGGTTTGTGTAACATTGATGGGTTGGGGATGTGGCTCAGTGGTAGAGCTCTTGCCTAGTGGTTCAATACCCAGCACCAGAAAAAAATATTTTAATAAAGCTTAGTGATGATGTTGGTTGAGTGCATATGTCACAGATGGGGACGTGAGCCCCCAAGACTGGATTTTCCTTGAGGCCACTAAGTTAGTGTAACAAGGACTAGAACCAGGGATCCTGACTGCCCATTCTCCAGAAGCTGGGCTTCAGTGGACTTCTCAACAGGGAGATAATTTATTGGTGGCCTGATAACCTCTATCTTCACTATAAATTCTTCTGACCTGGGTGCTGTTTCAGTCTTTCCCCAGGTTCTGGGTGCTAAGCTGGACTTATCATTGTGGGGATCTGTAGACATGTGGTAAACAAGACCTAAAGCCAAATCTAGTGCTGAGTTGAGGGTAGGGTGGAACCACTGACTGGGGTTGGGGGGGCACTTTATTTTTTCAGTGTAGAATTCCTGTACTTAGTAATATAACCCCCACCGCCACCCCAGCAAACAGTGTGAGCTGGAGAGTGGATTTTCCATGGCCTGATTCCTAGCTGCACTATCACATGTACTGGACCCCACTGGAAAGGGTCATTTGTCTTTTAGAGGGCCTTGTCAGGGAAGCCTACAAATCCTTTTAGGTGAAGCAAGGAAGGAGTGTGTGTGTGTGTGTGTGTGTGTGTGTGTGTGTGTGTGTGTGTGTCCCTGTCCCTGTCCAGTCCTCCTGTGCTGTGCCGGGAGATCTTTTGTCTTCTTTAGTGGAGAGTCAGCTTTCCCATTCCCTCACATGTTTGGTTCCCGTGACTTAAGTACACTCACTGATATAGCTGTGACTCAGGTTAGTAAATGTCAGTGGCCCCCAAAAGGTGGGATTTGAATCCTTGGCTTGATGACTGTAGGAACAAAATAGTTCAGTACCCCAGAAATCTGTACCAAAAAAGTGTTACTCCTGAATGTGGGGAGGGGTATGCTTCTCGGTAGGGAGCCCCTATTTCCAGAAAGACTCCAACAGACCTGGCCTAGTCCTAACTTGTCTTCCAGCAGGGTCTCCATGGGCACAGCAGCAGAACTGGGGCTAGTGTGCAACTAAAGCCCCAGCTGCAGAAGAAAAACAGGGTTCAGCTCCCCAGATTAGTTACTGTCTACAAGGATTAAAGGCCCCAAATAATGGCTAGCTTCTCCCCTCCTCTGTGCCAAGGGAAGACATGTAAATACAGCCGCACGCCAGCTTAGGCAGTAGATGTGTATAAATCGAATTTAGCAAATCAGATCATGGTTTAAATGCACTATTTAAAGCGGTCCTGCAGTGAAGCCTGTTACAAAGGGAATAATCATTTTGTGATGCTAATCATCAGCCTCCAATTTATCTCCTTTGTAAGTTCAGATGTTGGTGCACTGGGTGTTCTGAAATCGGGGCGCTCTTGTGTAGGGCTCCAGTGATGGCTGGCTGCCTTCTTTTTCTGACCTCTCATTTTAAATGGGTGCATGTCCTGCTTCTCACTGGGGGCCTCAGGATGCTTGTCACTTAGCCTGATAGTTCTCATCCGTCCTACTCATCTTTTCATAATCTGATAGAGGCCACCATTCAGCTGTTCCTGGCTCCTTTTCTGAGATTTTCGCTCTTCCTGGGGGGAGATACAAGCCCTGCTGTTCCCAGGCATTAGAACTAACTCCCTCTCTGATCTGAACCTCCTTTTGTTTCCTTGAGCTTCTGGTACCTCTGTTGTTGATCATAAAGACGATTTCAGAGATGACTACATGACACTCAGCCTCTGAATTTAGAAGGCAAATTGAATGCAGGCACCCCCTTGTTGAATAGGCAGTGTCCAGAAACATTCTCCCCATTCACAGAAAAAAAAAAACCCAAAAAACAAAAAAAACCCAAACCCCTGAGGCCTGGATGTTAAAGTGACTTTTTCCCACAAGTTAAAATCAGAACTCAAAGGAGAACCTGTCTCCTAATTGCTATAAAAGTGTTTTATACACTGAGCTGTAGTTCCTTTCTCTGCAGAGAAAATAAAATCAGACCATCTGGGTGGGAGAGAAAGAATGAAGGAAAGCGATGGATCTGAGGAGAATAAAGGAAGTGGGCAGGAAGCTGGGGAGCTGTGAAGAGCCTGACCTTGCTTAGCTCACAAGCCCTGATATAGTGTCTTTGTCAATGCTGCCACTATTGACGCGTTCCTTGGTAATTATGACTGTGTGTTGGCATGGCGACTCCGAGGAAGAAGACTAGAGGCAGTGGGTAAATGCACGACTTGTTCTCGCCTTCTAAAGCAGAGAGGAGCTTTTGTGGGTAGTTCTTCCAGGGAGACGTGGTGGAAAATTCACCAGACCCTGTGCTGGAGCAGGGGTACTGACGCGCCCGTGGGAGCCAGGTGGCCCTGCACAGGATGGCACAAACAGAGGGCCTCATCGAGAGTTGGGGCTGACACAGAGGTCTTCCAGAGCCTCCCTCCAGTTCCCTTCTGCCTTTGTTCTCCAGCCTTGTGACATCAAATGTTTCTCGTCCTCTCGGAGTTGTCTCTTTCCTTAGGTTTATGTTGCAGTCCTCCTGAACTTGACTGAGCATACAGTCCTCTACCTAATAGTCCATGGCTATGCATCTGGGAGCTGGAAGGGAAGACTGGTAGGCCCAGCTGTTAGGATGGAGTCTGGGGCTCTGCCTTCTACTGTGGTGCCCTCTCCATAGAGACTTTGGCTGTATCCTCATCTGAAAATGGTGACCTGCTGCTGGAGTCAAGAGCTGTATTGTTCTGTCTGGTGTGATACCCAATAGACAGGAATGGTTGATCTCATAAATGTGGGCAGCATGGCACATTTAAGTAATGATCGGACTAAATAAAATATATAATTAAAATGACCTGTTTCTCCTGTCTTTGGAATGAGGCTTCTAGAACATTTAAGATTATATAGGAAACTCCCTCCTTCCATTTCTGCTGGAAATGGCTGGTCTAAACCAGAGGGTGGAGCCCTTTTACAGACCTGCCACTTGGACTGATTGATCTGATCTCACCCAGGAGATGTCTAATCACAGAGGTCTATGCATAGAGTGCAATGGAAAAACCAGGTGGCGTCTCAGGCCTGAGGGGGCTTTTAGGACAGCCTAGAAGAGCCCATTAGGTGGAGATTACCTCTCAGTCCTGAATCTGTGGGCAACATGGTGTTTTCAGCATTTAGGGTAAGAGTAAGAAAGAACCTTTAGATAAAAACTTAGGTCAGCAGTACCCTAGTGGGTTTGTGTGGGCAGAGCTGGAGCTGATAGGATCATTGTTCCAAAAGTGGGACCCACACCCCCCACTGGTGACTTCATACTCTCCCAGATACAGAGGAACCACTAAACAGGGGAGACAGCTGTGTGTCCCAGGTTCACATCAAGCTCCCTTTTGCCTGGGTTCCTTTGGTTGGAACCTGCCTGGGGCTGCCCATCTCCCAGCTGCCCCTCCTCTCCTCAGCCTCCCTGACAAGCAAGCTGGAGCTTCTGGGATGCTCCTTGGCTCAAAGCCAGCATTTTCTTGGAGAGGCTCCTGCTTTGGCTCCCTGCCAGGCCGCTGGTCTCCAGAGAGATTTCTTTTTTCCCAGGGAGGTGCTGGGCTCATCCTGCTGTCAGAGGGTAGAGGCCTGCTCAGCCTTCTCACCTTGGAAGACCCCAGGCTGTGGGCCAGCCTTGCCGGCAGCCCTGGCCCCTTTGTAATAGTCAGTTTCTTCCTGGGGAAACCCTGCTCTGGGTGAAGGGCCTTCCAGCCTCCATACTCTGGGAGTGTCCAAAAAGTGGAGCTTACGAGATGGGGATGGAAATCCTAAGGGTTATAGTGATGGTGGCACAAAGCATTTACCGGGCACACGCACTGTGCTAGGCTCTGTGCTGGTCTTTGCACACTGGGTCTTTGAGGCCTGGTTCGGAAAAGTAAATATAATCCAGGCTCCACCCTTCTTTTCTCAGCCAAATGTCACACGGGTTGCGTGAGGTATGGCTCAGAAGCTGTAGTCTTAGGGTTCAGTTGTCACAGGGTCCTTGTCTCCCAAGGGATCAGCTGAGTCGTGGGAGGCAGCATGGGGTTATTTGGGCGGCTAGATGTCTCTGCAGCATCTCCTACTTCAGGTACGCAACACAGCTGAGTAATCCAGATGGAGAGAGCCCAGTAAGGAATTAGGTGGGAAACATCTCATCTGGTCCTGACTTGTCTTGATATTGTCTGTCAGCCAAGCCTTGCTGTGCTTCAGTTTATAAAAATCAGGTTCCAGGACAGCCAGGGCTACACAGAGAAGTCCTCCCATAGATAGATAGATAGATAGATAGATAGATAGATAGATAGATAGATAGATAGATAGATAAGGACAGCAAGGGGCTACACAGAGAAATCCTGTCATAAATAAATAGATAAATAAATAAATAAATAAATAAATAAATAAATAGATAAATAAATAAATAGTAAAATAAAATAAAATCAGAGTGACCCGACTCCACCAACTCCCACAATTGCAAGAGACCGGCTGCTCAGGGTGAATGTGGGTTTTGCTTTCTGCTTCTAGAAGTGGTACACAGTCATACGGACGGGGAAGGGATAGTATCTGTGTCCTCTGTCCAATTTTGTTTTCTAAGGGGTATGTGTGTGTGTGTGTATAGCATGTGTGTGCAGATACCTGCAAAGCCGAGAAGAGGGCTTCAGGTCCCCTGGAAATGGAATTACAGATGTTGTAAGCTGCCTAACAAGAGTGTGCAAATCCAGACTTGGTCCTTCAGAAGAGCCGGAAGCACTCCTAACTGCTAAGCCATCTCTCCAGCCCTCAATCTTGTTTCCTTAAGCAAAGAATGCCAAGGCTTCCTTCTGTCTGCCAGTTTGGTAGCACAGAAACCTGCTGGTTAGGAGAATGGCCATCACCTCTGAGAGTGTCATTTCCTTATCAAGTGCCTTGGGAGGAGGGTAAAGAGAAGGAGGGGGTCTCTAGTTCCCATCCTTATGAGCCTGCAACTTCTTGTATCCCATTGCATTTAAATACATATTAACATTTGTGTATATTTATTTGCATTGTGTGTGTGTGTGTGTGTAGATCAGAGGACAGCATGAGCTAGTTCTCTCTACTGTGTGGGCCTGGTGATCAGACTCAGGTCATTAGGCTTGGCAGTCTCCCTAAGCCATCTCTCCAGCCTCTGCATCCCATTTCAGCTGCTGCAGATTCTCCCTTACGTTGTCAGAGCACAGCAGTGAGGCAGAAGCCACAGGCTCAACAGGATCCAGGTTCTGGAGCCTTTCTGATCTAGTTCAAAAACCACGAGCATGCTGTTTTTCCTCTTGGTGAGCTCCTGTTCTCACCTGTGAATTTAGGAGTAGCCCTCAAAAATACCAGGGCCCAAGTTCATTCCCTGGGTCTGAGAAAGAAGGAGGGAAAGGAGGAGGAGGGGGAGAGGGAGAAGTGTGTGTGTATATATATGTATATGTGTATATGTGTATATATATATAATACTAGTATGCATCCCATTTGATGTGGTGTCACACATTGTCGTGAATAAAATCTCTGGAAGACAGCAAGCAAGGGACCAAGCTTAGCTCTCTGTCAGTTATGCTGCACTAAGTCCTTGTGTTTCCTGATCGTCCGTAAACTCCATAGTGTAGGGAGAACCCTGACCTCCTCCCTGACCTCTGGATCAGAGAGAATAGCTTGAAAAGCCTTAGTATTCACTCATACAGGGGTATATGATCTAACTTGGGTCCAGGAAGTTAAGAAAAGAGGAATTTGCCGGGCGGTGGTGGCGCACGCCTTTAATCCCAGCACTCGGGAGGCAGAGCCAGGCGGATCTCTGTGAGTTCGAGGCCAGCCTGGGCTACCAAGTGAGTTCCAGGACAGGCGCAAAGCTACACAGAGAAACCCTGTCTCGAAAAACCAAAAAAAAAAAAAAAAAAAAAAAAAAAAAAGAAAAGAGGAATTTGTCTGGAGATACAAGTACCAGAGAAGGCTTCCTGTGACCAAACATGTCTTTTAGGCCACCAAGAGGGCAGGATAGGGCATCCATGCCAGAGGAGAGTACTCTCTGGCTAGAGGTTCAGAGAAGCTGGAAGTGTCCTGATGGACAGGGCATGAGATTTGGTATGGAACGTCAGGTCAGATGCTGGAAACCGAGAGTAACAGGCAGGGAGCCAGCTAAAGGAACTGGCCTGGTCACCATGGGTACAAGATGGGTAGGATGGAGGCTGTCAGGCCCTGTGCCACCTAGGCCAGCTGGAGCTCAGCAGGCATGCCCACTCTGTGCCTGTCACCTTGTAGCACTTGGCTTGGACTCTAGTAGCTCATGGAGCTGTTTCCAAGTTTGCAGGGAAATTGTGGCGCTCAGAAATTGGATATCTTCCCATGCCACATTATTTTTCCTACCACAATCATTTATTCATTCAACATTTATTGACTGCACATTATGTGTTAAGTAAGGCCTTGGGGACTCAGAGGAGGAAACCACAGTCCTCTACCCCGCCCTTTAGCTCTTGTGATGAGGAACTTCACATATCCATCCACAACAGGGAGGTCAGACTGAAGGGAGGGAGTACTGAGTTAGCAGGCATGGGATGTGACAGTTATCATCATTCTATGGCTTCTTGCTCCTCCAGGCCCCTCCACTCTTCAAGAGCCCACAAGAAAAAAGTCAGAGGCCATTTCATGCTTTGCCCATGGCGACCCTCAGCTGTCACTTAGCTTCAGGCAGACTTCAATTCTCTAGACCCCACCAGTTCTATAGTTTCCCTTTCTCCGTTTAAAACAACTTCGATCTTAAGAATCAGAATATCAATAACTCATTGAGATTTATGTGTGAGACTAGCAGGAAACATCTTAAGTGCAATGAAATAATAAACCAATACCTGGAGGAATTCATGGATAGATGTTTTCTTCTCCTTAGACGCCAGAAGCTTATCTGGAGTGCCAGGTTCAGAATTCTACCTGGTTCTCCTCAGGCCGGACCCTGAGCACAGTTCTGGGCAGTTAGGCCTGCATGTGAAGTGACAGTAGCGAGCATCTGACCACCACTTCCCCACACAGCTGGATTGTGACCCAGCCCTGAAGATGCGTCCTTAGCCCCAGCCCTCTAACCCTGACTGTGGCCTTTTTCTGTCCCTTGTCTTCCCAGACCAGGAAAGACAAATGGGTTTCTTCTCATTTCTACTACTCTGGTAGACGTGTGTGTGTGTGTGTGTGTGTGTGTGTGTGTGTGTGTGTGTGTGTAGATCAAGCTCTTAGATATTGTATGGTGATTATCAAAGCACGGGAGGCCCATGCCACTTCCGGCTGCATGGATATTCTTTCTAAATCTTCGGTTTAGCCACCAGAAGCCTAGGAAGATGTGTCCTGCGCTCTGTTCCTTCTGTACTGTCCAGCTGTTGCTGGTAGGCGAGGCGAGTACACTTGAAACAGGCTCTTCTGTGGACAGGTGAGGCGGCAGCGCTTGACTCTTTCATTTAGGAAAGCCAGAGGTCCATGAGGATGCTTTCCCAGGAAGAGAGAATGTACTCTTAGTCCTGTACGCTGAACAACAGAGCAAGGGGATGTTCGGGGTCTAGCTGCAAGTGGGTCTTCCCTGCGCTGGGTGGCCTTGGCTCCCTTTGCTTAGATTTCCTGGAGGAAGTTTACTGAATAAATGTCACATCCATAGAGACTTGCCAAGGGTTTAAATATGGGAGCCGGTTGACGGCACACAGTCTCAGTCACGAGGCTGCTGAGAGAGGCTTCCTCCAGAGCAGAGTGGCTCCCCGACTCTCGTGCTGATGAAGGAGGTGCACAGCTGTCTCAGTTCCTGTTCTGCGGTCCCTCTCATGGGCTTTGTCTCTCTTCCAGGACACGCGCCAGGGTCAGAAGAAGAGAAAAGAGAAAAGAGAGCTTGGAGATGACTAAGAAGGTGGGTTCCCTTCCAACACAGGCCATGGGCCCTGCCTATACATTCAAAGCTCTCTCCAGCAGCAGCTCCTTCTCTGTGTGGACTGTGGCTGTAGATGGAAGGTCCAGGTAGAATTCACTCTCAGTTCACTCTTGTTACTGTGTTTCCTTCATTGGGACAAAAGCAGCCTAGTTTGAGGGAGACACTGAAATAGAGAAGCCGGTGAGGGACGTACACTTCCGGTCCTGGCTACTCAGGAGGCTGAGGCAGGAAGAATGCTTGAGCCAGGAGTTCAATGTCAGTTTGAACAACTAATGAGGCCCTGTCTCAAAATACAATACAGTTAAGTAAATATACAAATGGAATGTTCCCTTCTTGTGGGGCCAGTTGCTTGCTAGGTTGACCCATATACAATTTATTCACTGTTAGATCAAGAACAGTCAACTGTTGACTGTTCATGTGGTTCAAACTAATACTTTTCCATCATGAGATGGTACATATCAACTATTTATGTTCCTCTTCATCCTACAACACCCCTTCAGCACTATTTTAACAGCAAGAAACTGGAGCCTGAGAGTGTGCTGAAATGAAAACTAGCCCAGCAAAGCTCCACTTGCTCCAACTTCAGGATCTGTTGTCTTGAGATAAGGACAATCAAGATGACTTTTGAAGCCCAGATGATGGTTTATGCCATTAACCCTAGTACTTGGGAGATGGAGGCAGGAAGATCAGAAGTTCAAGGTCAGCCAGGCTACATGAGCTCCTGCCTCAGAAAACAAACGAAAGAAAAGGAAAGACAAAATGGCTTTGGCTATCCTTTCTTTCATCATTAATAAAAGCAGAAAAGGCCGGGCGGTGGTGGCGCACGCCTTTAATCCCAGCACTCGGGAGGCAGAGCCAGGCGGATCTCTGTGAGTTCGAGGCCAGCCTGGACTACCAAGTGAGTTCTAGGAAAGGCGCAAAGCTACACAGAGAAACCCTGTCTCGAAAAAAACAAAACAAAACAAAACAAAAAAAAAAGAAAAAAAAAAGCAGAAAAGTCTCTGAGATAGCCTAGCCAGCCCTGACTGAGGGCTGGACCAGTTACAGACTTTCCTGACTCAGGAGTCCTTTGCTTCCATCTGGACGGTGAAATTGTATTTTACTTCTCCGTCACAGGAGACTGAGGTGCTGGAGAGGAAGGGGGTGCTGGAGTGCTGTTGCAGCCACACCATAACCTTTCGGCTACCCCAGTGGTGGGAGCTCCTGACTGAATGCACATCCATCCGTCCGTCCATCCGTCCGCACTCATTACGCCCTTGTCAGTGTGTATCTGTGGCCGCCTCTGGGTGCGTGTGTTTCTTTTTGTATCTTCGTGTCAGTTGTCAGGCTGTGTGTGTCTATTTATGTCGGCCTGTCTAGGCGTGCTCAGTGTGACAGGGAGCTGGGGGTGGTGTTGGTAAAAGGAAGATATTTCAAAGCCTCAGCTCTCCCCCCCAGGGACATCAGGATGCTGGTATATATGTACTTGCACATAGATAGATAGAGAGCTTTTTCTCATGTTGTTCATTGTATGGAGATGCATTCAAGTGTCTAGCCAGGTATGGCCTGAGCAGTGGCCTGGGCTGGGGAGCCCATCTGCCAAGAGCTTACAGAGTTGCCTTCCGCCCTCCATGTCCGTGGGGAGCCTGTCCCTTCACCGTTTACCATCTACTCTCTAATTTATTAGATGGGAAGGAGGAGAAAATGAAATGTTGCCTGAAGACAATGGCCGAGACAGCCCGTCCCACCCTGCGCAGCCTCCAGGGCCTCCTTCTCCAGCCTTGTCTCCTCCGTGCATCACTCTGCATTCACTCTGCTGAACCTGAGGTAAGGAAGAAAAGAACCCCAAACCATTCAAAAGTTATGTCCGCCCTTGAACATGCAGGGATGGCTGCAGATTGGTGAAGGAAGAAGCCACCAAGATGAAGGCTGGAGTCAGAGTTTGGATCTGTCTGCTAGGCCCATAGACACAAGGCCCTCCATCCACTCTGGGGCTCCCACCTCCCAGTCCCAAGACTCCCAGCTCCCAGCCAAGCAAGGGAGGGGCAAGGGGCCCTGGGCAGCTGCAGGGGCTATGTTAGTAAACACTTTACTGGCTTCCTATTTTCTTCACACACACCCCCACCCTTCTCCACTCCCCGATGCCCCTTACATACTCCCACCCCCCAGCATCCCCCTTTCTGTGGCCTGCACAATGAGCTCATTGTCCCGGGTGTGATTTGAATAAGGGATCTGCGGGCCTGTTCCCAGCATTGTCCGAGGGGCTGGGAAAAACCCCAGTGCAGGCAGGAGGACCAGACCAGACAGAGACAGATGCCTAAATTAGCAACAAAGCTTTGTGCAGGTCCCCTGGACAAGGGCTCGCCTTGTCTGCATGGACTCAAGGGTGTGGAGCTGGCCGGCTGCTGCTCGCATGTCTCCCCATGTTAATTAGTTTTGCATGCATGTCTGAGAAGGTGCCAGGGGAGATGTGTTTGCCTTCCTCCTCCCCTAGGAGGGGGCCCTGTTTGTGGCTGGCCAGTGGGCTGGAGGCTGGGGAGTTGAGCTTGGCAGGGCTGGACTGGGCCTACCTGGGGAGCTAGGCTCAGGCTCTGAATGGGGAACCCCAGCTTCCCTGTCCTGCTGTTCTTTGCCCTGTGGGGAGCCCGGGCCTTACTCTCTGTGCCCCTCCACTTCTTCCCTACTGCCGAAAGTTGGTCAGTGCTGACTACCAGGAACTCATTGGCTTCTACCCAGACCTAGGCTACTGCCTGTCCATCTGGCAGTCTGTCTCTTGCGACACAGGGCCCCTTGGGACCAGGCGGCAGAAGCGACCAGTCTGGGCTCTCTTCTGTCCCAGAGCCAGATGGCCAGTCAGCTTATCGCATTACGGCCTCCTCTGTCCCCAGACCCCTGCCGTCCATAGCAGGTTAGGATCTTGTTTAGGATATGATGGAGAAGCTCCCTTTTAGGCCCTTGTAGTAGGGTGGCAGAGTACAGTCATGGCCTTGCCACTGGCTTACTGTGTGACTTTGGACAGCCCAAGTCCCTCTGGCTCTTAATCTCAGCAGCAAAATGATGAAGTTGAGCATCAGGAACTCTTGGTTTCCTCCTAGCTGAGGGAATCTTTGCCGGTGGTGATCATTTCAGCTTGTGTTCATTTAGCACAATGACAAGAAAGAGACCAGTGAATTCTGAATAGGGGTGGGTGGGGAGATGGAAGAAAGGATTTGATCACTGCATATGCTCAAGTGAGGTCTTGTGTTTTCTGGGCGGTTTACGGAGGATCAGGAATCAGCAGAGCCTATCTTCCCAGATCCTCACAGAACCCCCTCCTGAGCCTGAGTCCCCCTCTGGCCTGTATGCTGCAGTGGTGAAAAACCGCCCTAGCCCAGCATAAGAGAAGCTGGTAGAGAGCTGCTGTCTGGGCCCCTGCAGGCCCTGGGATAGGGCCCAGGGCTGAGAAAGGCTGGATACCTACCGGGCTAAGCTCAGCCAGGCCTCCTAGCATCTTCCCAGGTCATGTCTTCAGAGTGTCAGCCCTCTGGAGCCCCTCAGGAACCCAGGAAGGGGAGGCAGTATGCAGCCTTGCTTCTCTCGTTCATGTGCACATGTCTGCACATCTGACTCCCAGCTCTTTGCAGGTCTCTTCCCACCACTCATCCCCACTAGTCTCGCCCTCTGTGATGTGGCATTTGGGTTACTGCACATCTAAGCCCAGGACTAGTCAGTCCAAACTCCCTGTTCCTTTCTGATCAGTTTTTAATCACAGACGAACCAAGCCTATGCCATTCTTTACAGACAAAAGGAAGTCTGTGTGTGTGTGTGTGTGTGTGTGTGTGTGTGTGTGTGTGTGTGTGTGTGTGTATGTTCAAATTTTAGAATCTCTATGTAGTCCTGGATATCCTGGAATTCCCTATGTACTTACTCCAGGCTGACCTTGAACTCACAGAGGTCTGCCTGCTTCTGTCTCCTGAGTGCTGGGATTAAAGATATGCAACACCACTCCTGACTTCTGTGTATGTCTTAAATAAGTTGAGATGTCTTTGGATCCAGAAATCCTAAGGTCTTTGGGAAAATATTCTAGTGCCCAATTGGTTCCCTCTCTGGTTCCTTCTTTGCCAGCCTTCTCTCCTCAGACATGGTGGAGGTACTCTGCTTTAGAGCAGGCAGCTGGCCAGAGACCAACAGGGAGCTCTGTGATTGGCCTCCAGTGGCCTTGTGGACAACAGGTGAGCCTGGGTTTTTCTCCTCCTAGTGCATGGCTCTAGCCAGTTCCCTCTCCCACCTCCCTCATCTCCGCACTTCTTCCCTGCTCCCCTGAGCTGTTTCTCACTCAAGCTGGGAGTCTGGTGGGGTAGCCCAAGTTCAGTGAAGAAGAAAATGGAAGCCAGACACAGTGAGCAAAGTGCCTGCAGTAGGGTGGGGAAGAGACAAGATGGCAGGGCCTTGGGGGAGTTGTCTGCTGCCCGCCCTGCCCCATCCCTCTCTTAGCTGCTCAGCTGCTGCCTCAGCTGTATCTGAGCTCCTTAATCTGGTGATCAGTGTGGTGCTGGGGGGGCGGGCTGGCAGAGGCTTTAGGAGGCGACAGGGGATCTTAGGAGTCACACTCTGCTAATGGAGCATCACCAAGTGTCATGGCAAAGCTGGAGAATCACATTCCAAGCGCAGCTCCCCCTCCAGAGGCAGCAGTCTTGGCTGGGCTGGACCCAGGATGGGTGGTACCCAGTGAAAGCTAAGAGAGAGGTCCTGCCTGCCCTAAGGCATCACCTTGTTCTTTGTTCCTGAGAAGAAAACTTCCTAAGATTGGTGCTTTCTAGTCCTTTCTATGTAACTAGGCCTTTATTTTTCCGTAGCTGCCCTTAACTGTATTTCAGCTCCTAGATCTTCCAGCTGCCAATCCCAATTAGAAGTAGTATCTCTGTGTTACAGGTAGTCATTCTCCTGGTCAGCCAGAAAAATGCTGTCAGAGCTGACCAGGGGAGAGATTTGTCCCACAGCGGAGTGATTATGCTAGACAGGATGCCTTCCATATTAGTTTGAGTGGCTTTGAGGAAACCCAGAGAGTTTAGAAATTGAAGTCAGGATGTAAATGCAGGCCCAGGTAGTTCTGGGGCTTTGTGACGACCAGGAGGCAGGCAAAACCCTGGCTAGAGAGAAAGGACAGAGGAATAGATGCTATGGACAGACACTCAGCCCTCAATTCATGGACACTTACATCCTTGAATGTCCCAGGACCTCTAAAGTCACATCTGTAATGTTGCAACAACTCTTACTGTGGAATTGCTGTGCCTGGTGCAGACACTGGTTCTTCTTCTTAGCTATGTGACAGATAGGAAGGAGTTGACCTTTTCAAGGTCACTTAATATGGCTGTGTTTTGGGGAGGAAGATGGAAACAGTGGTGATATTCAGAGTACTAACTACCAACTGGCCTTGGTACCAGTACGGCAACTGTCTGAACCAGCAGCCCACAGAAGAGGGCCCAGCTGGGCCCAAATCAATCCATTTGTCTTTTTGTCTCTCTGTTCCGTCACATAGGTGTCTATTCCTCAGCAAGCACACAAACTCCCTCGGGACAGTTCCTGATAGGACAGCAGGATACATGATCTCCTCTCCTTTGCTCTCTCACCAGGTCAGATCTGCCCCCCATGGGGCACACCCCCCATCTGATCTGAGCTCCAGGCTGGCTGAAAACCTGCCCCAGCCTCTCTCTGTGGGGCTGAGCTTCAACTGGATCTCTCAGAGTCCTTTTCAGAAGCACTGTGGGCCAAGGACTAGGGGCCTGTCCTCAGTCTGACTCACCTCCTCAGGCCTCTGCTTCTTCCTCTAGGGATGTTAGTGGCTCCTGTTGTCTGGGAGTGTGATGCTGGAGGTGGGATGGAGCCATGTGTTACTAAAGAGAGCTTCTGGCCTCAAGGCAGCATAAGTCTTCAGCCCCAGGATTTTGGAAACTATCCCCTGCCCTGGACATATGCATCTTGACAATAGTGACTTCCTCTGAGTTTTCTTTTCTCCTTACTGAAATCTTTCCTTTCAGGGTCCAAGGTGGCCTAGTAAAGAAACAAGGACACAAGAAAAGCAGCCCCGCTCACCTGGAAGTCAGAGGCTCCTCGCCCTGCAGCCCACCGTCCTGTCTAGTGCACTGGGCAAGCCTCTGTCCTCTTCCGGCCTGGAAAAGGAACACTAGATATGACCTGTCTGCAGCCACTTAGCCTCTTCATTTTACACTGGGAATTCTTATTTTTTCTGCTTTGTTACCTGAAAGTCACCCTACCTCCTGCTCCCTGAATTTCAGGCAACTCAGCCTTTTCTCCTTCAAGCTGCCCTGGGACACAGGTAGATTACTCTACTAAAGCCTACAAAGAAAGAAAGAAAGAAAAAGAAAGAAAGAAAGAAAGAAAGAAAGAAAGAAAGAAAGAAAGAAAGAAAGAAAGAAAGAAAAGAAAAGAAAGAAAAGAAAGGAAGGAAGGAAGGAAGGAAGAAAGAAAACCCAGAAGCTTGTCCCGTTGCTGACCTTCAGCATTGAACTGGAAAGTGGCCTGTCCTGGAGCAAAGGCCTGGGCCGGAGTATGTCTTGGCTGGGTGTGCTTCCAGCCCGAGTCGGGTGCTTTGCCTTCTCCTCTGGTTCCAGGTGTTCTCAACAGTGCCCCAGGGGCTTCAGGAAGGTTTGTCATATATTTGGGACCTTCCCTGGGCCAGCGCCCCTTAGACTCCACGAAGGCAGCACTCCTTAACGTCGGGTTTCTCTCCCTGACTTCTCCAGCCAGATGACTCCACTACAGGTTCAGCTGAAACAAGTGTGGCTGTGAAGTCTAGAGGGCGCGAACCCAATATCCGTGTGTGACCAGGGTGACCCTGGGCCAGTGCATAGCACTGTTTCCCCCTTTCTAAAATAAGAAACGGGGTGGAGATAGGCTTCAGTGGTAGAGAGCTTTCCAAGCATGGTCAAGGCCTTGAGATGTATCCCTTAGGCTCAAAATATAACAACAACAATAATAACCATACCTTTCACATAAAGATACACAAAGACATATAAATAACATTGAAAAATACTTTGGAAGAGTAAGTTCCATCTCTTGTATCTCCTAAATCCAGCTGTACTCAGAGACCCCAAAGGCCATGGTCATAAATGAGTCCTTTTCCAGCTCCAGAACTTCCCTGCTGGGGAGATCCTGACATAACCTTGGAAGATCCTCTCTCCTCTCCATTTCCCCTTCCCAGCCCTCATAATACCTGAATGGGATCACAGGACACCTGCCTCCCTGAGTGCAAGCTGCTCGTAGACTATTTCTCTTGTCTTCAGATGGTCCTGTGAAGGGCAGTGATAGGACCGGCAGTTCAGCTTTTATGGAAACAGAGAAGTGGTAACTCCTGCCAGGGTCACAGGACCAATACAGAGCCTACAGAGCCGAGCTGCTTCAGACACAGAAGAGTGCAGCAGGAAAGGAAAATGCTGTACAGGGAGCAGTCCTGCCACCAGGGACTCAGCAGGAGCCCTTCTAGAGGGCCTTTGTCATCAACCTGCTGGCCTAGCATCTCCTCCATGCCTGCCCACGGCACACCTTTCAGGACTGTTCTGGGTCTGATGTGCGGTGGTGGGACACTCTGTCCGGGCACTTGGGAAATGGAAGCTTCATGACTGGCATTTCCACCCCCAAAGAACTAGGCAGCACATTGGGAAGTTGCCAGAGGCAGGGACTCGAGCCTCCCAGGAGTTAAAGATGCTTCTCCCCAGCTGTCCTCCCCTTGGTGCTCCTTCCCCCCTCCTCCTGCTCGCAGCAGGCAGGGCCTGGAACCAGGAGCCATGCTGCTGTGCTGTTACCAGGGGAGCTGGGAGGCAGATCGGAGCTATGCGGGGAAAAGGCTCAGCCTGTCAAAGTGTCTCCGATGAACCACGCCATCCTGTGCAGCTGGTCTCAGATGTGTCTGGGCTCTTGTTCTGGGCCTGAGAACGGGGAGCCCAGTGAGGTTCAAGGGCACCCTCGCTATTCATTAGTCAGGGGTTCTTGACGTCCTGTCTCTCCCAGGCATGGGTTCCCCCCTTGCTCTTTCTCTCCCTCCTGTGACACATTCCTGGGTGCCTGTGGTGAGGACTGCACACCCCCTCCTGCACAGCCTCCTCCACACAAACCCTGAATCAACTCCTGTTAAGGAGACCGGGCGGGTGGGACAGACAATGGCTTCAAGAAAGCGTTCAGGCGGGACCCTGGCCACATTCGACTGCCCTCCGCTCCCAGTGCGCCTATCGATCCGACTCCGCTGGGAGGCAGGGCACCCTTGGGCCCCCAGCTTGCACAGGCCTGGACAGGAGCAGGCCACTAGGTGCTGCCCTACACAACAGGCCAGTGCAGTGCTATTCTCAGTGGGCCCCTTGGTGCCTCTATCCCACTGGTTAGATATTTTTGTGCAGTTTGTTGGAGAGTAGAAACTACAACATTTTCTGAAATGTTGCAATGTCAAGATGTAAAAGGCACATATACTTGGTTACTAATTTCATGACTAGAAATTTCCTCCAGATACACTGGAAACGTTTGCTAAGAAGCATGGACAAAGAACTGTGGTTCACTAACGGGTTATTTAATACTATGGGATACCTACCACACAGCTGTAAAAGTGTGGTAGATCTTTGCTTGCAGGCTGACTAATATACTTAAGTGAGTAGAACAAATTACAGAACATTCAAGTATGTTCTTGTTTGTATACATTTAAAAGTCAGTCATGGAGTCCGAGGTATGTGAAGCTCAGTGGTAAAATACATACGACACACAAGAAACCCAGAGTCAAATAAAATCTATCAGCCATTAAGCTTGTCTATGTCTGTGTATGGATGGTTCCTGAACATAAACACTGGACAGCAACCTCTGGGAAATGGGAGGGATTTCTTCCTGTATGTTTGTGTTTGTTTTTTCTCTGCGTTTGTGAAATGCTTTTTATTGAAAACAGAAAGAGTAGTAATCACCTAATAGGTTTAACTTCTCTCAGCCAATGAAGGGTAGGCGCACTAAGACAAGGTGGTGATGTGGCAGGGAAGGGTGTCTTAACGATACTGATGGCCTCTGGCCAGTGGTGTTACTGCCACCTCCAATCACGTGTCATCATCATGGTGCTGCTATTAACCGAAAGCCCACTATGTGCCAGGCTTAGCTTCTCTGGTTCTTGCTTAGGTGAGCATCAGATTTCAGTCTCACCTCTGCAGGAGACAGAGAAAGGAAATCAGAGGGTTCCTCCAAGCTGGTTGGCAAGTGAGGGGCGGAGTCAGTATCCTAGAGTGGGTAAATCAAGTGTGGTTCTGATTTCCCTCAGGGAGGAGCTGTTTTGAGGAGGGGGGCTTTGTGGCTGTGTTGATTAGGAGTAGGCGCCCCTACCTGCTTTAGCCCAATGGAAGTGCCCTACTGAGGACAGCCTGGCCTCAGGAGTGGACTGACTCTGAAAGGCTCTATCTGCATACACAGCATGTGTCCAGAGAGACACTGCCTGACCTTGCTGCTCCCAGTGCTAATCAAATGCCTGCCTGGCTTTACCCCCAAAGGAGTAAATTGCTTGCTAGAGGGTGCCTGTAAAGGACAATGTGGAGCTGAGCCTTGAGGTTTGGAATCCAACATAGGTCTAGGTACAACATCCCACCAAGCTCTGTGTTGGGTCCTGAGACTTGGGAGCCAGCAAAGATTCACAGTAGAGTTGACCAGGGGAACCTGGGAAACCCATGGAGGTCCCTGGACTTGGAGGGCAGCTGGAGGAAAGCAGCTAGGGGGTGGTGCTGGAAGGTTAGGTCTGCTCTGGTGCAGTGAGCCCCAGTTTTACACTGTGGGAACCCACTAGTACACTCATTTTACAGGTGATGCAGAAGTCCAGAAATGTTGTTACATGTCCCAAGTCACAGCTGGAAAGTGACAGAACTGAGATTTAACACCCATCTCATTGACTGCAGACTGGATTCCTAACCCCAAATATATCCTGTTTGCCTGGGCCACTTTAAAAGAGGTCTTCTAAGCCTGAACCCCTCCTGGCCCGTTCCCTATGAAGAGACATTAACCTCTCTGTCCAAGGTTCCCACAATACCATGCCTGGGACCTTCCCTAATTCTATCTAATTTCATCTCTGGGATATGCCAAGACTTGGAGCCTGGGCATTAGAGCTGGAGAAGGAATTCAGCCATACAGAGATTGGGAGCCTTCAGTTAGTATTGCTGTTAAGGGCTATGCTTTCTGCTTCCTGGGGGCTGGTCATCTGCACTCTGCAGATGCTGCTCTTCCTTCGGGTCCTTGACCTAAAAGACTGATGGAAAGGTCAAGGATGCTCCTGGGTTCACCCCAGTGCTCCTCAGAGGTGGACCTGTGAGGGGCTGCGGCAAGGCTGAGGCTGGAGGAGCAGATGGGAGAGCAGAGATGACACTCAGGTTCATGAATCCTTGGAACTCTCTCCAACGGTTTTTTTTTTTGTTGTTGTTTTTTGTTTTTTTTTTTTTTTTTCAGGACAACCCGGAGGAAGAATTAAGAGAAATTCCGAGAGAAAGGACTCTTCCAACCCTGGGAACCCTCTGCCTCTTTTATCCCAGCTCACAACAAATAAAAGTTTGAAGATTCTGTCTCTAATAATTTTTTTTTTCTTTCTGGGTAGATAAGAGTGAGGAGAGGAAGATTCAATCACTAGCAAAGACAGCTCATGGGGTATTGAGGTGTGATGGGGAGTTTGGAGTGAGAAGCCTCAGACTATGGTCTCTCTTACCTGGGCTAGGGTCAGGAGGGTAGCCAGAACCTAGCTTGTGTTCAGGTATAAGTGTCGACATAGGAGTGGTGGAGGTTCTGAACTGGGAACCCGGTCCCAGTGTACTCCTAAGCCTCAAGTAATGTCTCCTCAATTTTCACCATGATCCCATAAGATGATCACATTTTCCACATTAGGAAACCGAGCCTCAGAGAGGCTTAGACACAGTCAGAGCCACACAGTTAGGAAACAGTGGCCCTGGGCTCCGGATCTCTATGAGCAGAATGGGAAGCAGGGGGTCATGAGGCTCGGAAAGCCTTTGACAAGTTTTTTCATGTATGCGCAAAATTACAATCATGCTTTCATCAGTTTTCATTCTCACAGGCCCTTGTACCCCAGACAATAATTAACACTTTCTTGCTCCCAGCACAGCTCTAAGTGCTTGCGCAGCCCTAAATTACATTTAATCCTCAGGCGTTGGTGTGCGTAGCTGGGCACCGTCCATCCTTATCCCCATCTAAGTTACGGAGAGGGTAAGAACCAAGAAGCTGTTCAAGGTGGCCGGCGTGAGTGTGAGCGCTGCTGAGATGTGAGATGTCAGCAGTGGAATGCCTGTCTGTCCCGTCGCCAGGCGCTTGCTTACCCACTGCCTCCCTAAAAGCTTGGTGGCTGGCCAGCTTGATTTGACCCCAGGATCCCAAATGAAAAACTCTCGCCGGCTCACAGCAGCCGGAACCACCGAGTAGTTCGAGCCAGAACCACCGACTACCAGGCGGCACTCCCCGGGGCGCCCGGATCCTGCGGCCAGAACTGCAGGCTGGAGCCCCCGGGCACCGGGAGGAGCCAAGATCCTGGGCTGGGAGGAGAGGACTAGGAGGCGGGCGGCACAAAGAGCTTTTTATTCAAATTTGTTTAGAGTTTCGCGAATTTGCATGAAAAATGTGTGAGAAAAGCCAGCTCCGGTGACCTCATCCGCACCTGCCATTAACGTTCAATTAGCGGCTGAATAGTGCCTGCCGACGCGACGTGCAGAGAATCTTGCCTGCCCCGCGCAGCGCGGCGGCGGGCCGGGCGCGGGATCGGGAGGAGGGGCGCGGCGGGGAGCAGGGCTCCGCCTGGGGCTCGGGGCCCCGACACCCAAGGCCTCCGCACCCTCAGTCTCAAGGGAGCCCGGAACCCCAGGGCCCTGGAGCGCTGGGCGGTTTGCAGCGACACTGGGCCCTGGAGATCAGGGCTCCCTAGGGTCCCAGCGGAGTGCAAGCTCTCCGGCCTCCCGGACCGAAGGTGGCGGGCGAGCCCTGTCCCGACTCAGACAAGCTTCCTCGCCACCTTCCGGACAAAGTGTCAAGTACAAGTTCAAGTTCAGGGGCAGGCCCCAGGAGGAAGGAGGGTGGGGGGAGCCATCCCCAGCTGCCTTTGTTCTCCGGGATAAGCGCTCCCACGTCCCCCTCCCGGGCGGGGCCCGGCAGATACCCCCGCCCCGCCCCGCCGCGCCCCGCAGCAGCCGCCTCCTCCCGCCCGCGCGGTGCCTGTGCCGGGGTCCCGGCGACCCTACTCAGGGCCACCGAAGGGTCTGGGGGCTCGGGGCGGGGGGATGCGCCGTCCGAGCCCGTGGGAGCCTCCCCAGGCCCGCAGTCCCAGCAGCAAACTGCGCTTGGTCGGATGGATGCCCGCGCGCGCGCGGAGGTAAGGACCCTTGGCGGGGTTCGTCTGCACCCCCTGTGCCCCGCCCCACTCCGGGCCGGACCGACCTAGACCAGCAGCGTGATCAACTGCGCGCTGAAAACCTCCAGGTTGGGCCTCACGGGGGCGCGCTGCCGCTCCAGATCTTCGAGGGTGCCAGACTTCGGGGGGATGGGTACTGGGTCAGGGGCGCCTTGCGGAGGCTGGGAGAGAACATTGATTGGCCTCTTTCCCAAGGGCTGCTGATTCACCATCTTTCTTGCAACACTCTTCTGGCCTCCACGCCTGCATCTCTTTGGCTTCGTGCACCTCAGATTTTAGCAGGGAGGGAGGGTACCAGAGCTAAAGGATATCTCCTCAGACTCAAGTCCCCTTGGGAAGGAGGACTGAGGTGTGCCTGCGGCTTAGCTAATAGAGGAATCACTCTTAGCTAATAGAGCAGTGCACACTCCTTCCCCTCTCCGCGATACCTAATTGAAAGTTCTGTGACAAACGACGGTTGCTGGTGTGGGCTGAGGTGGGTTGAAACCCAGTGTCAATGCCGTGAACTTTATTCTGCCTCTAAGACCTCCTTCGGTTCCTACATGCTCGGTTCTGGGACTTTCCGAGTTAGGGGTTACCCTTTCCACCCCGCCCTCTTCTAAACTGAAAGGACACGGAGGGCTGCGTCAGCGCCGCCTTTCACTCTCCTCTTCTGGATTGGACGTCGTTTATGCGACACTGCTTTACATACTGTCCCAACATCCATGATAGTCGGTTTCTGAATCCACAGTAAGTTAAAAGTGGGGAGTCAGAAGTGTGTGTTCCCCATTCCGCCCACCATGCTGCTTCCCGTGTGTTTCTTTCCTTCGTTTGGGGGGGTCTCCTCCCTGGTGTCTCATTTGTGGGACACTGCCTGGCCAAACGTTGACGAGTTTCTCCTTGTTCAGGATGCTTGTTCAGATCTCTCTCTCTCTCTGTCTCTCTGTCTCTCTGTCTCTCTCTCTCTCTCTGTCTCTCTCTCTCTGTCTCTCTCTCTCTGTCTCTCTCTCTGTCTGTCTCTCTCTCTCTCTTTCTCTCCCTCCCTCTCCCTCCCTCCCTCCCTCCCTCCCTCCCTCCCTCCCCCCCTCTCTCTCTTCAGCTGTACTGTCAATATTTATCAATAAGTGAAATGGTTTATGGATAGATGAATTTTTAAAAACGATACAGCATCCATTTAAAAAGCTTTAAGTTTGCATTTGTTTTGGTTTTACTACGCACTTCACGGTCAGAAGCTCTCAGCTTCTCAGTCATCCTTCTGTTCCGTAACTTTCGGGGTCTCATCCGCAAGCAGGGGCCATGAAAAGAGAGGATTAAAAGGCTCTTCCAGGGGTTCTATTAAAAAGAACGGGAAAAAATTCAGTGGGAAAAAATGCTTTACAGTATCTTGTGAAAGAAGT